TCCCCCCCAACTGGCTGAGAGAGACGATTTGCCCCAATAACCTGTGCCCGAAAAGCTGCACGTGCACAGATCTATGTACAGGATGTTGTGCACGTGTCGGGGCGTCTACGGGTGTTGTGTACGGGTGTAGTTCCGAGGTAACAACAATGCACCTCTGTACTCTGGTAATGTCATCGTTGAGCCGCTCACATCTGGGTGTTTTTTATGAGATTCTGAGAAACACAGGAAGTCTGTGTGTGTGTGTGTGTGTGTGTGTGATGCGAAGCTGAGGAACTTTATAGCTGAAAATTTTGTTGTGATTAAGATACAGCACAGGGCCAGGAATAAGTCGTCTGTACTTTGGTCTTGTTTGGTCCTTGTCAGTAAAAACCAACATGTCGACGTTCAAATCTGACTCTTACTCCCCTGCTGGAGAATCCTGTGGCCTTCACCCCGTTATTTTAATGATTTCTTACCATCATTACAGACAGTAACTCACGTCTGTGACACACGGGGGGCGAATGGACCCATTTATTCACTTGAAGAGTTATTTTAGAGAAGTATATCACGTTGGGTTTAATTTTTTTTTTTTTTTTACAGCAGCTGAGCTTATAATTAAAGAACACCCACTCCTCGTCTTTCCCAGAGCCCTCACTGGAATTCAACAGTGAGTTGGAAGTCAGCCTGAACACAGCTGTTTCTTACCATTAGAGCGAGAACAACCAAGGTAATGATTTCATAATGATGGTTATGGGACGGTGGAGGGGTTCAAAAGACGACCTTACGGTGTCCTGTGCACAGCTGCTCTTCCTAAACCGTCTGGGTTCTGACTGACAAACGTAAACCCCCCCTCAGACCCCTCCATGTCTGGAAATGATACAAATCCACAGGTTATCAGAAATCCTGATTCATGCAGCTGCAAAACGACTACTTTCTTTCACTCTTTCTAGTCATGAACATTTACGTGTGCTTCGTTCTCGTCTATATCGTTTATTGCCGTACATCAGGGGTTCCAGTAGAAAATGTGTTTTTCGGAATGTGTTTCTGATTTATTTAAGAGAGTCTGCATTCCACAGGCAAGATGTGAGACATGAAGATGCTATCTATAACCCCGGTGAACTACGCTGGGGCTGTGTAATTACGCCGAAGGAAACTGTTTCACAACCCGCCTCCATTGAGCCGCAAATGGTTTCCAACGGCGCTAAATTATCTCAGTAAATGGGAAAATGTGTGTGTGTGTGTCATCTATTACTACGGTCAACGGCTTCAGAGAAAGATAACGATGTGATAACAATGAACATTTAGCCTAAAGTCAGATATTAGACGCAGTGACGACAAATGAACTAATCCAAGTTTTACTCTGTATCATTTACCGACTTCATCCAGTCGTGTCGTCTTCTGTTACGGACTGATTGAAGTCATCGAGGTATTCTGGGCCAACGGAGACGTTTGGCCGATGTGTCACACATTCTCAGCCACATAATAACTTAAACCGATTAGTTTCAGAGATGAGGTTGATTATGGAGGTCATTTGAAGGACGTTTCGTTTTAAGATACTTTCAGATACTTGATCATTCCTTCAGCGACTGAGGCCAAATGAGGTTTCCTCACGAAGACAAAACTTCCCTGAAGACCTTTAAGCCTTAAAAATAAAAAAAAACAATAAATCAGGGAGGAACTGAGAGGTGTGACAATCAGTTTGTTCCCTCCTCTGCACAGCTCTCTCTCTCTTTATTGCCTCACTTTCTCACGTCTCTGGGGGGAACTTTTTGACTTTTGCCAAAGATCTGACTCTGCAGGAGTAAAGTGTGATAACTGCCTCAGAGGTCAGAGGTCAGAGGTCAGTTTTCTTCCACCCTAACCCTCTGTGACCTTCCTTCTGAGGCCTTCATTACTGGTGGTAGGAACACACTTTATGGTCACAGTCAGTTGATTCTCATGAGTTTACATTTTTTTCCCGCTCATTTAATATCTGTGTCTACGGTCATGTGAGTGTGTGTGTGTGTGTGTGTGTGTGTAGTTGAATGTAAACATGTGTAAAATGTCTGGCAGACTCCAGGCGTGACTGACTTTGACCTAATAAAGCAGTGAAGCTGAACAGTTTGATTGGATCACAGTCACAGGAAGGAAGTTGATTTATTTAACTCCGCGGCGACAGTGAGGGACACGTCTTTCTACTCCCGTCCACCGACCCAATCTGTAAACTGAAAACTCGACTTGTTCCGCAGCTACTTCCTGTTCCCACCACCGTGAAATACCCGACATCTCGAAACTAGCACAAACCAGTTAGCTTGTTGCTACTACAGACAGTTGCTGCCCATCGGTCGGTGAGAAAACGTCGTCGTCACCGTTGTGTTAGTCTGACATTTACAGCTGGACTAAAATGTCCAAATGTACCTTTAAGTCCAGTCTTGGCAGAGTTTTTTGTCTTTCACAATAATCCGGTTTACTTTAGTGTCATATAAATATAATGACACACTCTGAAAGTGCTGTTTCCAGCAGGTCCTGCACAGAGTCACCTCACTGAGACAAACACACAGTCAGCAGTCTGGAGGTCTGGGTCCAAACCCCGGTGGACTGGACTGTCAAACCCTGTGACCTGCAGCTCTACATCCTGCTACTACAGTAGTGCTCTTTGGCAACGATTACTTTTCAGACTTTTCATTTGAAAAAGTCTTACAGTGCAGTAAGTGTTTGTTTGTGTTTGACAATCGGCTGGACTGACCTCCAGCTCCTCCTCCACAGCTGGGAGAGACCTGACCGCTTGAACAGGTACACATGTTGGGTCTGGAACAGAAGCCATCGCCACACGAGTTCCTACAAATGGCTGGGAAAAAAAGAGTAAGAGGAGAAAAAAAACAGTTAGTTAAAAGGAGGAAGTGAAGCAGCGTGAATATAAAAAACCTTTTTGTTTGTCTTTTTTTTTCCCATCGGTGTTTTGTTGTGTTGACATTGAGAGATTACTTACGAACAATGCACTGGTTTCCTCCTGGCAGTGTCTTCCAGCCTGGACAGCAGTATGAATGGAAGCGAGAGCCACACACGTTCGGCCTGGCAGAGACAAAAAAAAAACAAAAAACAAAACAAGAACAAACAGTTTAACTCCTCACTCAGAGCTCCCAAACATATTTTAAGCAAAAATCACTAAACAAAAACACGCATTTGTTTCTGAACTGGCCGGGACTTTTGAACGACCTCGGCTTCCAGAATAAACAAAACAAACTTTGATACGAAGCCTCCCCCGAGTGATGGATGAAGGTATTTTAGAGATGGGAGGAGGAGGAGGAGGAGGGGGGGGGATGAGGGGGGTTACAGTGTGAAGAGCAGAATCTTTGTTTTCATTCTCAGGCCAAGGCAAATATTTCAATGACTAATTAAGACTCCTCTCCGTCTCAACTCCCAGACTCGGATGTCCCGTCCTCCGACAAGTACCCCAAGTTTCTAGCCCCCCCCTGCCCCCCCCACTAGCCCCCTCCCCAGCTCTGACTCTTCCTGTTTCAGGGCCTGCTGTGAACCTCGACTCTGTTTGACAGATGTAAGAGTCATAACAGTGTTCGTAGCGCTTGACTGGCTTGACTGGTTAGCCACAGAGTTTTATCCTGAGGAAATGACTAAACCACATCTGAAGATGACAAGTACTGCTCACACACACACACACACACACACAGTGGTGCCCAAGTTCCAACTAATGCAGATACCACTTTCCAGTAACTTTTATCATCCATGATGAATTCTACTCCTACACTTAAAGCTCAGTTTAAACCGAAGTGGACTTAAAATACCAGCATGCATCGGTCCCAAAAACCCAAACCCACATCTATCTACACACCAGAAGGAAGTGTGAGTCACTGTGTGCGAGTGAAAGACCTCAAGCTGCCACATAAAGCAGTCGCACAGATGATGTTTCGGACTGCGTTGTAATAATAATCCATATATCTGTGGGCATCAGTGTCCTGGTGTTCCCAGTTCTGTTGGACCGTAACTGGATAAAGTGGGAAACGAAATGTCCCAGGCGTCTGTAGTAAAGTAAATCAAATCTCCAGTCAATTTTGACCCAAAGATATGATTTATATCTCTTTAAGGCAACACTGGGGTTTTGTTTTGTTTTGGGGTTTTTTTCAGACCAGTACTGTTTACAGGAGGTGCCCTGGTATACTGCTCAGAAATAAGTGGAACTTAATAAATTCCAATAATATAAGATAAGACAAAGACTTTATTCACGCTGGGAAAATTCGCCCGGTTGTCCGACCAATGAACTGCTGTGATTTCGTTTTTGCCAAAATGTTGCAACAGAAATCAATCACATTTGTTCATCGAGTCAAGGATCTGAGGTCAGTGGGTAATTAAGTGTTAAGTGCTCATAAAAGCCAACGTTTCTTTGTTGCCTGAAACAGATGACCTTCCTTCCGTCTCACCAGACAGTTAACCCAGGTGGTCACTAGGGGGACGACAGCTGGAGTTTAGAGGCTGATGGATAAATAACAGGGTACACCTCCGAGCACATTCCCAGA